GAATTGTGCAACGTCGTGTCGACAGGGTGAGCACTAATTTTAATTCTCAGCCGTGAGCCCATATCATAGGTAATATATACTTAGGTTATGGGCCTAAAAATATTTCAGGCATGCTAAATTTATTGTTAGAGTTAAGTTACACAGTTACTACATCTAGAATTTCTTTTCAAATGTAATGACCAGTCTGCTGAGTATGCAGGGAACATGTATGCTAAAGGAACAGAGCTATGAGGTGTGTGCTTACAGATGGAAAATGCCCAGTGTTAAGAAAATAAGCTTTCGGCAGCCATTGTACATTTTTGTTGTTTGTACATCTTTGTTCATGCTGTTACAGTACACTGTGTGCTCAGCTCTGAGCACAATCTCTTTTTTTGCATAGACATATGAATAGAGCTTGAGCGCTCTCTTGCAAGCAAGCACTCCAGAAATGAATTGGCGGTACAAGATGTGAATTTGTCCAAATACTGGATCAATAAAGGTCACTATTATTACACACTTATTATTATTTATACTTTTTCAGTATACTTGTTCTTAAAAGCTGAAGTTGTTTTCTCCCTGCTACTTTTAGAGGCTACAGGATTGGAAATACGTGCTATCTTGCAGTGTGGCTGTAAATAAGTTAAGATCACGTACGTTTCAACTACCGGTGTGATATCCTAGATTTTTTTTTTTGATGACGGCAGTGCACAGAATTTCACTTCGTAGTGGTACACACTATAGCTATGACAACTTAATTTAAACAGTATCAGATGTGCTCAAAGAAATCTGGACGTTTCTTTTCTATATGAAAAAGAAACAGTACCTTATCCAATGAACACAATCTTGCTCATCACGACAGCATTCACGCGTTTGAGGAAGCTGTGCTGCAAGTCCTCATCACCTTTACACTTTATTACTTTAGGAGCCCACTGAACATATGTGCAAGCCTAGAGCGATTGAGTGCAGCCGTACGAGCTTTGGTGCATCTTTTTGTAAACTTGTATGAGCTAAACAAAGTAATTAAGACAAAACACTTCTGGGTGTAGTTCGTAAACTGTTACAAGGCATAACTAAATGTCGGAAAGCCTGTTAATGCCCCTCACTGTCGGGGTGTTCATTTTTTATGCAAATAATAATTTCTGATGATTAACATGCCAACTATGAAGTGATCATGAGTCGTACAGTAGTGGGCAAATTTAGATTATTTCTGGGTTCCAGGGGTTGAAACAAATGACATTGTAGCCTCGCAGGAGACAAGAAACATTTGCTCTGACACCTCGTGTTCACAGATTTTTCATATTTTCAAGCTTACATTTTTTAAGGGTCAGTTTCGTTCGCCTGCACCAATGGGAACTCGTTCACAGCTGTGCACGAGAAGTTCAGAGCTTGTGCAGCACGAGTTCAGCACTGCGGCATCACAAGTGAATGACAAGGTGGCGACAAGGTGAAATTTTTATTTTTGTTCACTTAATTCAATGAGGTAAAAACATTTTGGCAAAACACGCCGCGTTTGTAGAGGCGGGTACGGCACCTACGTCTTATGCTATGTTGTTTGTTAAGCTGTGCGTGCGGCTGCCCCAAACCAGTGCCATCAGAGTTGGGGTACAAGAAAAACATGAACTAGATTTAGTGCTGCACCTCTCCTGCGCTCTTTGAAATAAATGGCACAGTTTAGAGGATACCATCGCTGCACCACTGAAACGAATGGCGAGTTGCAGCTCTTTGTAAAATAGATCACGTGGTGCAGGCGAATCAAACAAACCCTTAAGAACACTAATGTCTTGGCATTTCGCCCCCCCCTCACAATATGGCCACTTTGGCTGGGATCAAACCTGTGTTGTTGAGCTCAGAAGTGCCACACAATTTAACAAATAGTGTTACAGTTTCAACGTTATTGAAGTGTAGATTCCATGCCACGGTATACAACCAATGCTTGTGGCCAATACAGAGCACCCCTCCACGATATGCGAGGTAAAAATTTACAAATACAGCATTGCATGCGTGAGGTTCGAGGTGACCTGTGGTAGGGGACGTTCAAATGTTTCAACGTGCTTACAGAGGGGACGTTCAGTGGTAGTCATCCTGTGATTGCATGACAATCAGGAAAAAGAAGTAACATCACCAAATATCAATGCATGAAATCAATGTCTAATTAATGCATGAAAATTTTCTAAGTAAACAAATAAACTCGGTTAACTTGTAAACAGCAGTATTTTATACATATATGTAGTGGTACTTCATAACACATGTATCACTCGGGGCTGCTTCTTCCTAAGGCTTGTCTTGTAGCAGGTTCCTTGCCCATTGTACACAGCTGCTTCTATTGGTAGGCCAGGAGGCTGTGGAAGAAAAAGAAGTATTTCTGATATATGTGACGCTTTCTTTGTCACGCTATAAAAAACCACACGCATAATTATGTGAGGTTTCCCAAATGCGACTGCGGCAAACTATTAACTCGTATGTTTTTTTCACTAACATATCGGCTAGCTACGAATACACGTGTGCGGCGACAGTGGTGTATTCGCCTTTTTTCATCGCAACGGCCCGGTTTCTGTTACCTGACAATAGAATTTCGGAATTAACTATTGAGTCAGTGACTCGTTCCCACGTGAAGCCACGCCAGAAGTACTGCACGTTTTTTCCGGTGACAGATTGGGACGTTAACAATTATAAAATTTATTATTGCAATGCAATGCCACCGTGTGACGCCTACGCATTCATTGGCAAAAAAAAACTACATATGTTGAAATGAACCAACTAGCCCAGCAAGCAACCGTGCTTAAAAAAACTGAAGTGGTTTCTGCTCACCGGCCCGGGCTTGCAACGGGTGTTCATCCGATGAAAGCTTCAATGGTCGCTTTATTCCCCGGAAGTCACTTGAATTCCCTTCGCGAAAACATTTGAACGAGTCAAAATAAACAGAACGAAAAAGAGTGTGTTGGTCGGCAGTGGCTCGAAATAAGCGAATCAATGCAGTGCGAGACACATCCGAACGTGCTGCGAGCCTGCCGTCACTAGCGTTGGCCGCCGAATATTTCGAAATGAGGATAATGATGTCGATAGGCCACTGCTGGCTACGAGTCAACTGGAGCAAAAACCGATGGCAAAAAAGCGGCGCTGCATGCCATAGCGATAAGACGCCCGGGAGGTGAAAAGAAAGGGATTGAGCCGAGATTCGATACCACGACCTGCGGGTCAGCAGCCGAGTACCTTAGCCACTAGACCACCGTGGTGGGCTGGACTCAGGCTCACCGAAATTCTCCTGAGTCGGAATTCCTCGGACTCACACTTAACGAAATTTTCTTCAACCGCGCTCACTCGCACTCTAACTCACGTAAATATTACTAACCCGAGCTCACCGTACTACGGTTCACGGCTTGAGATGAGTCGGGGTGAGCCAGAGAGAGTCGACTCATAAGTGAGTTCGCCGATCTATGCGGTGGGGTAGCAGTGGCGTAAGATTGCTCGGTTTGGGTATGAGTGGGTTTGGAATAAGCAATAGATTACGGCATCGCATTTAAGAAGCGAATTTACAATGTAATAAACAGAACACAAGTCTACAGTGTATGTAAAGGAAATATGTAATGTATGTAATATTTATAGTATTCACTGTTTTTCAACTTGTATTGTATTTCAAAATATGTTATGGTGTTTTGTACTGTCCTGCTCTACCTGCCCGAGGTGCCTCACGAAGAGGGGCCAAGTCAGGAGACACACTCTCCTTTTGCCCCCTTCGTGGGCATTTCTGCGGAAATGTCCGAATAAAATAAAATGAAATGAAATGAAATGAAATCTATTTCGTTTATCACGTGGCGGCGGGAACTTCAGCCTCTCGAGCATATATTTTTGGGTCATGTCTCGGAACGTTGCCAGTCGGTCACCCCACCACTGTTGTGATTCTTGCTGACGTGTGCCTGTCAAGGTGTCTTGATCCAGCAGAGCCATAGCCTCGTTCTCAGAGTCACAGGTGGCAGCCACATGATGCAAAAAAAAAAAGAAGTTCACAGCAGGCGTGTTAAGTAAAAACGGACTGCAGGTCTCTGTGTCCTATCGGAGTCTTGTGTCTCTGAATGCCCGTTAACAGCGATTTTAAAAATGTTACATAAAAAGCACCGGTTCCTTACTGCGTGTTTACCTCACCCCAGGTTTATCTCCTGCGCAACGCCACGATGAGTGCCAGCGTCAACGCCACCGCCAGTGTAAGCGTTAGCACCCACTTCTTGGAATCTACACGCAGTTTCCTTTAGTGGGAAATGGTGGACTTTTTTGTTTCTGTTATGTTCCCATATTGTCATACGCATTTTTTCCCATTTTTCTAATCAACCGTGTAACCAATACCGGGGACCGTGCTTTGTCTTGCGCAGGTTGCACCGGAGTGTGAACCACGTGGCTATATAATTTCACTTGCCAATGTTACTCGATTCTTCACAGCGCGTACACAAGTAATATTATTAAGAATTCATATATACACCCTTTCTTTTGGTGCTTCTTATTAGTGGGCATAACATTAAAAAATATATTTGCATTGCACACTTTCCACTTCATATTCACTGTGTAATATGCAGTTACGTATTGTGCAGAATATTCACTTTCGTAGACCTTCAAATGAGTGAACTATTTCTTGCGGTTTCTTGAAGTTGACTCAAGTTAGAATTTACTGTATTTCTCTGTCATTACCATTTCCTTTAATTTTATCATTCAGCATTGTTCAAGCTTATATTTTATTCTTTGACTTACGAATTCTTGTGCAATTCCAAAGAGTGGAATTGTGTCATAGTGTTGAAGCGTCCCACAAAGAAAACGAAGCTTGCTTTTTTGGGACCAACAAGATCTCCTAGGCGACAAGACAAGACAAGATTGTTCGCATACAGCATAGATCGAAGAAGACGACAGTACTTATTGCGCGGTTTGGAGCGTGCCACGCGCTGGTCCGTGAGTCCATCTCGTGGCTTTCTACGCCGCGCGCTTGCCGTTTGGTTTCGTTCCGTCGACCAGCCTTCTCGCCCTTCTGAACTTCGACAATGCGCCGCTACGAGGAATGCCAGGAACAGCATGCTGAGAGAGAAGATCATGCTTCTCGAGCAGCATCGCACTCAGGGCAGGGCCGCGTCAGCGGCGTGCCCGCCTTTGCCATCGTGTTACTTTCGACGGCTGGTTGCGCCGTCATGCTCGGAGTCACCGGCGTCGTGTACTCGTCGCAGCCGGTATCCACACAGAACGAGTCTCATGAGCGCCATGTTGCTATCCACATGCAGGCCTCCAGGTACAGGTCCAAGTTGGCCGTTGACGGTGTGTGCGAGTCCAGTTTCTGCGAATGGAACAAGGACTATATCCTGCGCGCCGCGGACCCCTCCAGGGACCCCTGCGACGACTTCTACGCTCACGCTTGCAATGCGCAGCGCTGGTACCGAGTTGGAAGTCGTTCGACAAGACCATTTGCCGAACTCGGCACAGCGCAGCTGATGACGGACATGGAGCGCTTTTTCCGTTACTTCGTCCAACTCAAGGGCAGCCCGATGGAGGATAATTTCTTGTCACGCGTGATGTGGGTCAATGAAGCCTGCCAGAAGAGCACAGCTCCAAGGACGAACATGAAGGCCGAGCTCGAGGTGGTGTTCAACAACTTGGGTATTGTCGGTGGGCTTCCCGTCAGGCTCGTTGCTAGAGGAAAGCTGGCCGAGATCGTGGCAGCCGGCGACAGACACTTACAGCTCCAGCCGCTGTTTAACGTCAGAGTGTTGCGCCGGCAAGAGCGCGGTGCAAATGGCAACTTTGACATAGTCCTGTCTGCTCCAGACACGTTGTACCGACGCTTCCTGACCAACTTCGTCGACTCCACCGATTCGATGTACACCGACTTTGTCGCCAAGACGCTGAATCTTGCCACCCCGGCTGACACACGATCTGCGGCGAGGAAAATAATGCAGCTCGAGAAGCGACAGGAAAGCTTTGCGCTGGCCTCTGCAGATGAACTCGTGATGCCTCCCGGAGAGAAATACGCGTCGCTCCATGACCTAGTTCTCTTCGACAACTGGAATTGGCTCCTTTACTTTAACACACTCATCGCCAATGCCAATATCAATAATGACACGAAGGTCTTCGTGAGTGACCCCATATATTTCCGAAACCATGGCGCTATCCTCGGAGGCGCCTGGGACGCGATAGTTGCGAACTATATGGCGTACAAGGCGATCGTGGAGCTCGCCCCCGTATTGGGTCAGGATGCCGAATACCTGCTCCAGTTCTCTCACAGCTACGAGGTGCCAGACCTAGGCGAGCGGCAGACAGCCTGCCTGTCACTAGTAGAAAAACTCTTCAGGTATGGCGTTGGTGTAGCCGCCAAGCTCACGCTAGGAAGGGAGTTCGCCACGACACCACGCAGTTACATGGACGCACAGCTGAAGCATCTGTTCAACGCGACCAGACACCTGATCTCCGGACTGGTCGACTCCGGACGATCCTGGCTGGACCCCTTGGACAAGGCCATTGCATTGCGGAAGTTGAGCAACATGAGATTCGAGTTTGGCGCCCAGTGTAACCTGGTTGAATACGAGCTCTACCGGCGTAACCACGCTGCCCTCAACAGCTCAAATTCGTTGCCATTGTCGGACGAAGTTGGAAGTGACAATCACACGAGCCATTCTTGGGACCAACTGCCACTTCCACACGTTGTATTCGTCTTCTTATCGATCGCTTCGACTACGTACTGGGATGCCTGGGGCAGCGCCACATCGCGCGCTTACGACAACCGCTACTCGCTGACTGCTTTTCGAACGGGCTACGAGCTCCAGCATACGGGTAATCTTCTGATCATTCCGCAAGCCACCGTAGCGTTTCTCAGTCAGATGAGCAATGTCGTCCACCCCGTTGCGTTCGGCGTGGTTGCAGTGGACCTAGTTCGCGGTCTCGTGGAAGCGCTCGCCAGGAGCGGTTCCTCAATAGACGCAGACTCACAGCCTCGTTTTTGGTGGAGCATCGCAACACTCGACTCGTACGAGAACATCAGCATTTGCCTCCAGTCCCAGTACCAGGCGCCTGTTGGTCAGGGTGCCAGACTGCGTTCTTTGGAGACTGACTTACTCGACAACGCGGTGGCTTACCCGCTCTTCCAACTATACAAGGAGTCGGCGACTAACCTCGGGAACGCGAGCGTAACTTCTGCTCGCGGCACCGAGGAAGCTCAGCGTTCCCTCACGATGGATCAGATGTTTTTCTACAACTTCGCGGCAGCACTGTGCGACTTCAGGGACGTGGACCTGTGGCAGCAGCAGCGCAAGTTCCACCTGACGCCCACTCCGTGGCGCGTAAACGTGCCGCTCAAGAACCTGCGCGCTTTTGCGGACGCGTTCGCTTGCAAGCCCGGGTCGCCCATGAACCCCGTAAAGCGGTGCAGCGTGTGGAAGGAAGAACGCTCTGGTGGCGCGACGTAGGACACATTTGGCGTCACGTGAATAAACGTGTATTTATGAGGGCGACATCATTAATAGTAAAATAATTACCAATACCTAATGTGTCATTCCAGCCTATAAACTTTATTACAGTACTACAAACTACTTCAATATTTACTGCGAGCACTTTCACATATACGAAAAAAGCGGATTTCATTGAGGGTGGCACAAGCTGCTCAGCCAGAAAGCGCACCTTTCAGGGACACAAATGCTTCCTTTGTGCTTAAAGATAAAAATCGTAAGCGAAGTGTATGTGGTTCGGCTATGTACCGAGAACTGCTGTGTCGCTTCTCACGCTAGCCTGGCAGACGGAAGATGAGCCGCAGTCGCGCCTACGCCACCGGAGAGGACGCCGGATCCACGAGGTAACGCAGAGCGCCTAAAGAAGAGACGTGTACACTCCTCAATGGTTCACCACACTGTGATTGATTTGGCCATTTCTTGAGTACCCCCACAGCGCGTACATCGCTGCCGTGTGAGGCACCAGTCGGTAACTTAAATACTCGAACCTAAACGACTACAGCTCTGCACTGGAGGGTGAAATTCTGAGAAGGAACCCACGTGTGTCTAGAATGAACGAGCTTTAACGAAAAAGTGTGTAGGCAATGCTGCACAAGCATGCGCGACGTGCACAACTACGGTTGTATTGATCATTAGGTAACCCGCGTACTCGTGCCACGTTTTATTCCCGACCATAGCGGTTGGCTATATCGTACTGTAGTTGACCACAAGTTTACTGTCTTCTGGTGCTATAACAGGATGGCTAGTCCTTCGTGACCACTCAACAGCATCCTATTATGTGTAACAAATGTTTACGAAATAGACATACTTATAGAAAGACAGTGATGGTTCTAATTAACTCGAAGGTCGCAGCCTGCCAGCGGCTAGTTATCTTCATGATTATGATAACGGCCCTAATTAATGGCTCACACCTACTTTAGGAGATTAGTCATGAAACGCATATTTAAACAGAGGGGATATGACATAGTATTTGCAAATCTAATGAATTTTGAAAAGGTTAGAAAAAATTGCTAATTGAGAGATATGCGATCAAAGCCACCTTGATTCAAATAAGAATCTTTCTATGGCATACCATCTCGGTGACAATGACCTAATGAGGAGGTACCCAAGCAGACAATATTAGAAATAATAAAATCTAATCTATTTCGATTAAAAGCCATTCTAGGAATGATTTTTCTCAGTCCCTTTAACGAATTACCTGATAAAAAAGTTATCTTTTCGTTCACTCTTCTTTCTTTACATTTGTAATACAATTACTTATAATAATATTCCATTTACTTTCGTTGGCATCAGTGTCTGTTAGGTTTAATGAATATTGTGTCTAACAAAAAATGAGCCCATAAATTTGCACTTCCTTCTGAAATCATATTGCCACGCGTGTTTATTTTCATGTGTTTGGGTATCAGCTGGAAATACTATTAGCAACCTTGGTACAGAAAACGCCGCAGTGTTTTAGAAGCATAGGAAATGTTTGAGCTGATTCTGTTCAGGACGCGATCAGTCAAAGTTTATGCGAGAACTTACCCGGGCACCAGTGATAAGACTTGCATGTTCGATGCCGCATCTATAAAAGCGACGCACAACCCCAGATGAAATCCTCGACAGCTGAGGCTCTGTTCGTCACTATCGGTGTACGTAAAATGCGCATTTCTTGCTTGCAGTTCGACTTTACGTTTTCCGGGAAAGTTTTCACTCAAATAAAGAGCTTCGTCTTGGACACGCCGGCTGCTGCCTTCGTCAACTTCACGATCCTGTGACACTATTCATCCACAAGGCCTAACTGTATACATTTGCATATGCAGAAGCTGGTGCATTGTGCGCGCATCTGTGAAATGTGTAGGTTATCGCGCCAAGATTGTGAAATTTTCTTTCACCACAAAGCAGTTGTAACGTGCACACTATCGAAGAATAACAGACAAGTGAAAAAAAAAAGAAGAAAGAGAACAACTCAACTAACGCAATCTCTCTGAACAGGCAGGACTGCAAACCCTGCAAATTTTATTTTCTCTAGAATCCCCCCCCCCCGTTCTCTTGTTCCAATTTTCTTTCTTTTCTTTTTTTTGGCGACAGCGAAGGTATGGGGAAGCACCAGGAAAGTGCGCTTTATTGCCGCGCGGCCTTGCTTCTGGAAATGCCCCCGCCGCGGTGGTCTAGTGGCTAAGGTACTCGGCTGCTGACGCGCAGGTCGCGGGTTCGAATCCCGGCTGCGGCGGCTGCATTTCCGATGGAGGCGGAAATGTTGTAGGCCCATGTGCTCAGATTTGGGTGCACGTTAAAGAACCCCAGGTGGTCTAAATTTCCGGAGCCCTCCACTACAGCGTCTCTCATAATCATATAGTGGTTTTAGGACGTTAAACCCCACATATCAATCAATCATTGTTTCTGGAAATGCAAACCGCGTGCTTTTACTGCAGTAACATTACGTTTATTCATTGTCTTCACTTCTTGGCTTTCCTCTTTTGCTAAACCACAGCGCAAGAGCCTGGTTGCTAGAAACGGCGACCGCGATTCAGGCTTTCATATGCAAATTTTTTTCCATCCACGCCCGGTCGCACTCCATTTCTGCTTTCAGTGCCCACCACGTGGACATGAAGAGGTAGAGTTGCGTGGGCGATCCTCATATTGAAGACGCAATGTAAAGACTGAACGCGTGGCTCAAACGAAGTCTAGCGATGGAGGTGCCTTTCGTCTTGTCACGTTTCGCAGTAAGAGCTTTGATTAGGACATGGAGCTCGAGACGGCCACGTTTTAGGAGACGATTCACACAGTGGAAGATCCGTCGTAGTTGATATTCTCGTCAAGTGTCATCCACCCATGCATGACTTCTATACCGGATCGTCAAGGTTAGAACAACGCAAATTGTAATGAAAAAGTGAGCCATTCAACTGGGGCGATAGTAATTAGTCAACAATGCTTTCTAGCGCCCGCATGAAAAGGACGTAGAGTTACGAACAATACCACGAATCTATTTTTTCGCCATGCATGGCGGTCAATAATTGTCTTGGAGAGGAAGTTAGAAACAGCTTGTGGAGCGGACGTCCCTACATATTTATTTATTTTGGGCATACACAGGATTCAAACCTCCTGGCTAGGCTTTACATCACTGGGGGCAGCAGAAACAGCGAATTTATAAGTAATAAATCATCATTGTAACATAATGAATAAACCATGACATAATCGTTATTATAACAAGCATGTAATCACCACTTGCAGTAAAAAATAATGACAATAATGAACATATTGTAATAATACAATCACAGTAAAACATAAGCACAAATGCAAAAAGAACAACTAAAAAGAAAAATGATTAGTCATACTAGTAACAGTATTATTTAATAACATTAGGATGCAGTCAAGTCGCGCCTGTAAACAAAGTTCTACAACATATCCGCTTCTGCAGCAAGAAAAATATTCCTTTTTGGTTGTTTAAATAAATTCTCGAATTGTTTTACATGCTTATTATTTCCACAACGATATCATACATTTTGCATAAATACGTGGTTTAATACCCAATGGTATGCATGCCTTATTCCTAGGTGTCTTCATTACTATTATTAAGTGGCGTAAATTGTTTACTGTTTCTCGACTGAGATACCCGTTTGAAAGCATCTCAATGTTGCCAGCTCCTTCTTTAAATAGCAGATTGCATATCTTTACTCCGTAAGAGTTCCTAATATTAAGGATCCCATAGCGCCAATTAGTTTAAAATACCGTATGTATTTATTTGAAAAGTTAAGCGGCGGGACTCTAAATAGCAAGCTATGAAAGCTCTCTCACCTTATATCGTGGGCTTTCAATGGCACTGTAAACGCAGTTATGACAGCCAAGAGATAAAGAGAGAGATACAAAGAAACGTAGGCGGACAGAAATTGCAATAAAAAGTGAGCCAGCAAACACGATGGTATAATATAGTATGGTATAGCAGATATATTACAGTACAGTGCGGAAAGTGATGGCAAACCAAGTGAGGTTGACGAGGATGAGAACAGGAACGTGAGATGGTAAAATACAGCACATTCTGGTGTCGCATAGTATAGCAAGGTGTGGCGGGAGGGAAAAAGGAGAAGAGCAACGCCACCAGCTCCACCGCTTCCTCTGTCTTCGCAGCACTAGTGCGTGGCTTCCCCTTCACTTTTTTTTTTCTTGGCTCATCCGCTCGAGAAATGCAGACAGCCATAGTAGCCATATACAAGCTCGCTATGAAGACAAAACATAAAGAAGAAAAGAATTCGCTGACCCACGTACAGTGGGAATTGATTAATATGTGAGGTTTAACGTCCCAAAACCACCATATGATTATGAGAGATGCCGTAGAGGAGGGCTCCGGAAATTTCGACCACCTGGGGTTCTTTAACGTGCACCCATATCTGAGCACACGGGCCTGCAACATTTCCGCCTCCATCGGAAATGCAGCCGCCGCAGCCGAGATTTGAACCCGCGACCTGCGGATCAGCAGCCGAGTACCTTAGCCACTAGACCACCGCGGCGGGACGTACAGTGGGAATCGATGATATGCGAAGCACGAATGAGAAATGTTAATATGTCACTTTAAAATCACAAGGTTACGAGGTGGAGGTAAATGATGCCGTACATTACTTCCGTGTCATGATTATTATGTTTGCATGGGTGGTTTACCTTCATCATCTATTCACGTCACATGTTACAAGATTTGTGGACCTAGCGAAACGGCGGCGAGCACGCTATGGGCGTGGTATGTTGTCATGTTGTTACATGACACGCATATTATGATTTTAATGTTAGGGTCTGTCGCTTGTGTTTGCCATGGAATCATGTCATACCATACCAGTTTTGCAACTTGCCATGTGAACAAAACCACCGCAAGAGATGCAGGACCACGACATGTGAATCATGACATTCATGACATACATATCATAATTTTCATGTTATGACTTGTCAAATATGTTCTTCATACAGTCAAGTTATGGCATACCTAGCTTGGT